ACACACACACGGAAAAGCACCTCAAATCCAAATAATGAGTGAAAAAAAAGGCTGAGATACCACATTAAGTCAGGGGTGGTAAAAGTATGAATGATGGAGCTCGATTTTTAGGCCTCTGCTTGGTGTAAAAGTCCAGGTTTGACACAGTTCAGAGGTTCAGCTCTCGGTGAGACTTTGAGTTTTCAGAGCAAACGAAAGGCCTTTTCCCTCCTCTGCGGGGTGGACGTTGATTGCCCACATCAGTTTGCGTTTAGAGAAGCTTTTAACGCGGAGCGGCAGCATGCTCAAACAATTAGAGAGCCCGAATACCTGAAATGGTTTTGATTCGGGGTCAAAATGTCACCACAGAAAAACTCACGTTGTCTCAAACTGGGATAGATTTCAGTTACCAGAATCAGAAATACTTTAATAATCCCCGAGGGACATTATTTAAGGTGCAGACTCAGAATCCCTCTTCCATCTATTTGGCCTCCTTTCTGTATTCCCACATTGATCTCTTCCTCATTTGTTTGGCACCATATACAGTGGGGGAAATAAGTATTTGACCCCTTGCTGATTTTGCAGGTTTGCCCACTTACAAAGAATGCTTATTTTTCCTCATCAGATGGTTATCAATTTTTATAAATTCATATGATGTGATTTTGTGGAATTTTCTTTGGGATTCTGTCTTTCTCTGTTAGAATGTACATATGAATAAAGTTATAGATCGTTGCATTCTTTGTAAGTGGGCAAACCTGCTAAATCAGCAAGGGGTCAAATACTTATTTCCCCCACTGTAAAGGGTGTTTAAACTCTGGATCTCAGCAGAGTTAGATGCCCAGAGAAAACCAGGCTTTGCCTTCTCCTCCATGCTGTGCTCAGGTGATGTGCTCGTTGCCGTGGACGACGTGGAGGTGACATCGGAGAACATCGAGAGGGTTCTGTCCTGCATCCCCGGTCCAACGCAGGTGAGGTCTCAGGTCTCAGTGCTCACTAGTTCACGTTCACACGCCAATGTGCAAAGAAATTGACATGTTTTGGTACATTTTCCGCTCCTATTAGCCAGTTTTGAACCCTGGGCGAGTCTCTCATGATCCCTGTTGGGGAAATGAAGGTGTCAGAAGGTCCTTCGGATGATTACAAAGGCTCAGAATTTGGTATATTTTAGTTTTTGGGGGAAATGAAGGTGTCAGAAATTGCTTCGCAAAGTCTCAGAAGTTGGTATTTTCTAGTTTATTTGGGGAAAATGAAGGTGTCAGAAGGTCCTCCGCCTCAATACAAAGCCTCAGAAGTTGGGATATTCTTGTTTATTTGGGAAAATGAAGGTATCAGAAGGTACTTCGCATCCATACAAAGCCTCATAAGTTGGTATATTCTAGTTTATTTTGGGAATTGAAGGTGTCAGAAGGTCCTCCGCATCAATAAAAAGGCTGAGAAGTTGGTATATTCTAGTTTAATTTGGGAAATGAAGGTGTCAGGAGGTCCTCCGCATCAATAAAAAGGCTCAGAGGTTGATATATTCTGGTTTATTTGGGGAAATGATGGTGTCAGAAGGTCTTCCGCATCAATACAAGGCCTCAGAAGTTGGTATATTCTGGTTTATTTGGGGAAATGATGGTGTCAGAAGGTCCTCCGCATCAATACAAAGCCTCAGAAGTTGGTATATTTTAGTTTATTTGGGGAAATTAAGGTGTCAGAAGGTCCTCCACATCAATACAAAGCCTCAGAAGTTGGTATATTCTTGTTTATTTTGGGA